TTTTCTCTAGTGTAGTCTTGGAGCTCAAAAGTATCGGTACTCGTACTTGTACCGAGTACTGTACTTGGTATCTGTGCAACCCTATCAATATGTATCCCAAAAGTAAAAAAGATTGTAGCAGTACCCAAAATCCCCGGTACTACCTCAAACGTAGGTCAAACCCTGAAAGACAAAAAAGAGGTGAGAAATATTAAAGTCCAACCAACCTGCCCACACTCTGTTAAATTTGAATGGTTTACATGAATGGCCTTATAGAGGTGTAACAATGAGTTGATTAGGTTCTTCCAAGCTTGAAGTGTTGGTTTCTTCCCGTTGAGGGCAATACGTTTTCTGGTATAATAACGGACAACAGTCAATAAGGTTTTACCTGTCACCATGGAAGCAAGGTTCCCTACTAAATCCAAAAGGCACACTTTAAGGTCTAATTGGAGTATCAGACCAGTGATCGTATACACCACGTCCTGCCAAAAATCCCTCACAGCTGGACATGACCATACAACGTGTAGGAAACCGGCTGGCACATGTGGACGCCAACAATGAGAAGACTTCAAGGGATAGATGGCCTGAAGCATGGCTGGTGTCAGATACGATGTAAAAATTTGTATTGAATCAAATGATCACTTGCAGATACCAGCATGGAAAGAGGTGCCCGCCATGTCTCCTCCCAGTCCTCCTGCTGACGTTTCTGTATCAACTGAGGCTTTCCCAAAAAGAGCAATCTATAAGCCTACTTGAATATTTATTGCGAATATTAATTGTGGTTTCCCATGCCGATGTTTTATGCACTTTGATAATCATTTTGTACTTTTTCTCTTTTTGAGCCCGTGGGCAAAATCTAACAGCGTATGGCTGGTTTTAGATAAATGTGGCAATAGGTTAGGGCAGCTTCTCCCAACCTTTTTTCAATCATGGCACCTTTTAAAAGTGAGCAAATCTTGAGGCACTCGAGTCTACAATGTAATAAACAACATGTGGACCCTCCTTCCTGCCATAATCAATGGCAACCCCTCATCCTAGATATGGGTCTCATATAGAGTTTTAAAGGGAAACCCCAGGCAAAAAAAGGTTTACCTTGAGGTCCCCCTCCACATTAGAGTCCCCCCTTTCACATTCTGAACCTCCCTCACATCAGAGTTCCCCTTTTCACAAAAGAAGCCCCCCTCCTTCACATCAGGATCCCCTTTCACATAAGAACCCCCCCCCCCCCACCCACCACTTTTATCCCCTTTCACATCAGACCCCCCCACCTCTTTCACATCAGGATCCCCTTTCACATTAGAAGACCCCTTCAGATCAGGAGCCCTCTTCAAATTAGAGTCTTGTCAGTCTGCTGCTTCTCCTTTTACTGTCCAGTCACAGCCTGGGGAAGGGACAAGACCCTAAAGCAGGGGTAGGCAAACTCTGACACACAAGCTCGTGGTGAAACTACAAATCTCATCGTGCATCTGCTTCTAAGAGGCGTGGCTGTCAGAGTCTTGCAATACCTAATGTGATTTGTAGTTGCACCACAGCTGGACGGCCAGAGTTTACCTAACACTGCCCTAAAGTGTTACTTTTAACTGAAGCAGAGAAAAATCAGGTTCCCTGCTCTGCCAGACAGTGTTGTTGTTGTTGGAGAACCAAGAAACCAGACAGAAACTCAAGTGCAGGTTAAAAATAAAAGGAGTTGTTGAAAATAGCAATAAACATAAATGGCAAGAAACAATAGAGGAAGTCCAGGACGTTGTCTGCCAAGCCAGAGGTCAGATGCCAAAGCGGGTAGTCAGCTGAACCAGGTCAGGGAACACTGAGAGCAGAATGAACAGAAACAAAGCTGGAGTCAGGAACCAGGAGATCAGTCAGACAGAGCCAGGGTCATACACAAAGAACAGGAACAACAGCAGAGCACTTGGTAGCTCTAAACACATGCAAGGGCAGAGACTGAATGGACATGTTGAAGGTTAAATAGTGAACTTGAGAAGTTTGCCAGTAGTTGCAGAATGATGATGTTTACGGGCTTGGTCATAAGAGGGCGCCAAAGAGGAACAGCAGTGTCAGACGTACTACAAACAAGGCATGCTGCAGCCAACTGCAGGAGGAAGGGTAAGAAACCCTGACAGCTGTGTGGTGTGGTAGGGCTGTGTAAATCTCAGACCTAAATGGACAGAAATACAAATCCTCTGGCAGGTAAAGCATCATCCACATTTGTATCTCATGTGCATGGTTAGCTGTGTGACTGAAGTTTAAAGGAAACATAACTCAAGGAAATATGGGGGCTGCCTTTGCTGCTCTCTCAAAATAAAAGTTCCCTTCCTGCCATGCTGATCCAATGGATTCAGTACATTCTCCATCACATCCAGGAACAATGAGACAGATTAAAGTGAAATGAAAGTCAAAAAAATGTCCAGCTTTTTAAAATGAAAGTGATTAAATCCCTTTCAATGGATGCTGCTCCTTGATCTTTAAACATTTTAAGTTTCCTGCAAAATCAGTTAGTCCCCTATGCACTGGCCCTGATATCCTGTTTTGGAGTGACTCCTTTCCGTTGCGGGGTCCTATGGAGCCACTGTTAGGATCCAGAGCGCCTCCAGGTGGCGCTGGAGACCAGCCCTGCAGTTTCAGTGCTCACCTGCAGGTGTCTTCCAGCTGCCAGTACTTAGCCATCACCTGGTGCTTCCTGGTATTTAAACCCTCCCTGCAGTCAGGATGATGGCTCAGTCTCCTGCTATCATTACCTGTTTGCAGTCCTGAACCCTGTTTGCAGTCCTGAACCCTGTTCCCTGTTTGCACTCCAGTTACCTGTTTTGCAGTCCTGAACCCTGTTCCCTGTTTGCAGTCATGTTACCTGTTTGCAGACTTGGGCCCCGTTACCTGTTTGTAGGCCTGATTCCTGCTTGTAGGCCTGATTCCTGCTTGTTGCAGTCCTGTTGTTAATACAAATAAACTCTATATAAACACATACTCCCTTGTCCGGTGTGGTCATACGTGTTTGGTCAACCTGTGTGGGTACCTGTATACGGTGTGGGGACACCTGTGCCGGTACCCCTGACAGCCGCCCTTATGTGTGCTAGTAAGCTATGTCATGGAAATTAGGGACTGAATTTTAGTGGATGAATAATACTAAAAGGGGGGGGGGGTATTTATAGCAGAGAGCATATACCACTCCCTGTTTTCTGTCATGCATTGCAAACCTATTTTACGGCCCATTCATTAAATGTAGGCCAAAGCTAGTCTGAATGATGCCATAAAAAGAAAAAGTCATTTACTGCATTCATGTGTTTAGAAATGTGCTCTAAATAGATATGAATGCAGGTCTGACACTGCAAGTGTGAATGAAGCCTTGAGCGGGACCATACACTGCTCTACAATAAAAAAAACAAAAAACAGATTCCTCCATCAACGCTATGAGCGCATTGATCGAAGAATCCCCGCTGTTGCCACTGTCAGAATACCCAAACAAAGATTGAAGGATCTGTTCATACAAAGATTTTCTGACCAGCTCCTTCAATCATCTGATCGAGGGATGCCGCTGAAAGGGTGCCGACAGCGGCACAAACTGCGAATTTCAGCTGCTTCATCAAGAACTGGCTGAAGTTTGCACAGTATATGGCCACCTTTAGGCCCCTTTCATACAGGCCACTCCTTTCCATCTCAGCAGGGGATCCACAGACAGATCTGCTGCTGAGTGAAATGTAGGGCTGCAACTAATGGTTATTTTCATCATTGATTGGTTGGCTGATTATTTTTTCGATTAATGATATAAAAAAAAAAAATACCATCCTTAATTTAAGATAAAATCCATAAATTGAGTGTTTACTCAAAGTTTACATAAAGTTTACTTCAGAATTAAACAGCATGCACAATTTTGTGCAATCGCACTGCACTGGAACTGACACAGCATTGCGTTCCAGTGCGGGCGATCACACTGTGGGTGGGAGGCGCGTTTGGGGTGCCAAAATTTGTCAGGCCGCAACCGAAAATGTCTTTTTTTTTCTCCAACTTTTATCATTTTTGTTTTTTTTATAATTGTATTGTAAGCACATGGCACTTGAATAGTTTTAGCCAGGGAACGACAGCTGCCAGTGGCAAGATTCCACAGACGGCAGCTGAATGTAAATACAGAAGGTAGAGGGCTAGTGCAATATCCAGCTTGCTATTGGCCATTTCAAATTGCAATAGCTAATAGCAGACTGGCTATTGCACCCGCCCCCTGCTTGCTGTGCACTCCTCCTAGTGTGGAGGAGCGAGCTAGGGGATCCAACCAACTAATTGTTAATGAGAATAGTTGACAACTATTCTTATTATCGATTAGTTGGTTGCAGCCCTAGTGCAATCTGATGTTTCCAATTCTGTTTTCCCCTCATCTTATAATGGAGGAAAGATGAACCCTTGTAATCCCAAAGTATGGCTGGATGCAAATGGAATGCATGGTTTTATATTCTTTCTGCAAAAGCGGACCTGGACACAACTTTCTCTGTTCAGACCAATGGTCCAGAGTAGGCCAAAAAATAAATGGACACACACTCGCTTACATTTTGTTAGGGGTACACTGCAGTGGGTTTTAAAATCCTCTAATCACAAATCAAAAACTGACTGTGTGGAACACCGTGTGAAAAGGGCCCTATTTAGAGGAGAGGCCGATCACATGACTTTGACAGGTCACATGACCAGGCTCTCACCCTGGCTTTATTTTTCATTCAATCTATTTGCCCCGGCTGCTTTGGTGTCCCAAATCGAGCAAGAGTGCAATGCACATTTATAAAACACATCATCTAGCTTAGTCCTCAATAGTTTCAGAAGGGCACAGCGACAAAGATAACAGGAGGCAGGGATAAATGATTCAGTTCTACTACCCACGTTTAGGTGTTGTGAAGCCACTGAACTCTAATCATGACGTAAGCGAGTGTCCCCCATGGACTCCCCCCCCCCGCAAAGAGCTCCCCACCCGCCCTGACCTCCGCACAGGAGGCGGCGCACGTCGTAGCACGCGCCACCGGCGGCGCTCTGATGACGCACTTCCGGAAGGTGAGGTCAGATCTTTCCTGTGCCGCCATTTCGGGTTTGGTGAGGTCGGGATCGGTGGGAAGTGGCCGTGTGCTGCGCGAGTGACGGGCGGCGTCGGTGGGCGCCTAGAGCCGGGTGAAGGCATACCGGGGAGCGACAACTGAGGGGGGGAGAAGAAAGGCCATGGCCGGCAACTTCGACTCCGAGGACCGAGCGAGCTGGTACTGGGGGAGGCAGAACCGACAGGAGGCGGTGAACCTGCTGCAGGGTCAGCGGCACGGGGTCTTCCTGGTGCGGGACTCCACCACCATCCCCGGGGACTACGTGCTGTCCGTCAGCGAGAACTCCAAAGTCTCCCATTACATCATCAACAGCGTCGGCAACAACCGGCAGAGCGGTGAGTGGGGGCGGCCTCATGTTCGGGTCCCTGGGGGTGCACATATAGGGTCTCCATACTTGTAACCATCTGACCGAACAATCTGTGCACGATCAACATTAGCCTGACCAATACTTAGTAATGGGAGGACCTGCCGAACCCCCCCAATCATTGTGTATCCGATCAGACTGATCCTTGTGCTACATACTTGTTGGTAGAGGTAAAGGAGGTTGTGGAATCAGATTGTAACGTGTGGTGTGTCTTTACATCTTAGTACCATTGGTTCTTCATTAGGTGGTGGCTGTACTTTCAATAGATCAGGGGTAGGCAACCTTGGCCCTCCAGCTGTGGGGAAACGACACAGGCCTCTGTATCTGGGACTCATGCCAGTGGCTGTAAGAATGTTGCAGTGCCTTGTGGGATTTGTAGTTTTGCCACAGCTGGTGGGCTGGAATTTGCCTGCCTCTGCCTATAGACTGTCAGCCATACAGTGCATGTTGGCCTATAGTTATGGTTGGAGGTCTCTTGGGTTTCAGCAATAAGATCTGCAGCTCATGGTTCCTCCATGTTTTCCCAACCTATACACATCTATAACTAAAGAGGTCCTGTCACTACTGTAAAATATTCATCACTGTTTCCCCCGATAAAGGGGACCCTGCGTCGTGTTATGTGATAGTGCGTCAGTAAAGGCGTAGAGTACCAGTAACCCCTTCCTTTCTCATATTGAGCCATGCTATCTGTCACTGCTGCACCCACTTATTCCAAAGAGACTTACTGGTCAGGAGTGCAATGGGACTTGGATATGAATCAGTTCTCTAGAACAGTCCCTCCCCTCCACGTGTCATAGCTCTCTGCTCTTATGGGGAATGTCTAAGCACTGCCAGCACTGGCCCAGCTCCTCCACCCCTCATCTCCATATATAAACTTTTATGTGGTTCCCTGGATAGAAGGAAAGGCGAATACAATAGAGCAGGGGTAGGCAACCTTGGCACTCCAGCTGTGGTGAAACTACAAATCCCAATAGACATTGGCCACAGGCATGACTCCCAGAGGCAGGATGGTATTTGTAGTTAAAGCAGGGCTGCAGTACTGATGTTGCCTACACCTCTGATGGGTCGCCTGAATGACAGCTGTGAATATGTTGTAGGACTGTATTAGACATGATAACGTCAGCAGGGCTTAGACCGCAGGAGTCTGTGGGAGAAGACTGTGGGGACCAGTCTAGCAGCCAGGCTTGACCGAGGATCGGGTGAATATATCTTCAATACGGCCCCTAGACCAAAACAATCAGTTAACCCTTGTAGTGTGGGGTCGCCCTACTGCAAGGGTTAATTTTATTTTTTACCCTGGAGTTCCTCTTTATGTGCACTTAAATTCTTACGGAAAGATTGTTGAATGGCCTGTGTTTTTTCAATATGGAGAGTTGGAACTGTTTTGCAGATGTGTATATCGTGGAATACAGACGTCGTTCCAAGATTTTTATTAGCAGTCAGCTCCATTGACAATAACTAGAGGAAACCTTAAAAGTTACGTCTGGTAAACGCATATCAAATTTCGGCCAGTTCCTGATGAACCAGCCGAAATTCCCAGGCACCCTTCTGTCTGTCATCCCTCAATCAGCTGATTGAAGCGGTATGGAAATTCTTGGTGAAAGGAGCTGGCAATCGGCTTCAGGTATTCTGATAGCGGCCACTGTCAGAATACAATAGAAACACTAGGGATTCCTCGGTGAACATCTAAGCATTGATGGAGGAGTCTGTTATATTTTCTTCGGTCAGCTGGCAGGTGGAACAAAGAAAATATTTGTGTATACCTGGCTTTAGGCAGTGACTTGGTCTCCTCTCTGCCCAAATATTGTATTCTGATAGCTGACGGGTGTGTCGCTGTTCAAATAGCTGAAGAGTGACTAGCAAACTGAGTGGCTGCAGTCACTGTTAAAATGTTTGGACCGACTCTTTTGACAAAAGGGGATTGAAAGATCAACCTTTGTTGAATGTAGGGGTGCTGAAGGGGGCCACCCACTGGTAGAAAGTTTGAGTATTGTAGGGCTGGCTTTTTACTCTCCTGTCCCCAAATCAGCGACATATGGGTTGCACGGCCTTCTTGGTGCTGCACAGCTGTTTGTCTGAATTTTCCAAGCATGTGCTCTCTCATTCAGTCTAATGAAGAGTTAGTCTGGAGTTCAAGGTCTTAAGGTGCCCATACACCTTACGATTATCGGACGAAACTTTTCGTCCGATCGAACCGTCGTGCGATTTTCGTACGACGGCCCCATCCTGCCCCGATTATCGCAAGGTTCAATCAGCGGTAGTTAAACAAAACACCTGGACGACTTGCGGTAATTGACCGCAATTATTTTCGTTTGCGCAGTGTTAATCGTACGACTTTTGACGGACGGAAACGCCACCAACCATGCGAACATCGTACGATCGACCAAAGTTTTCAAACATGCTTGACCGTCAAAAGTCGTACGATTGTACAGTACTATCGGTCGGGCACTACATTCACACGTTACGATTGTCATACGAAAAGTCGATTCGCATACGATTATCGTAAGGTGTATGGGCACCTTTTACTCCTGAGCTCTCCAGAGGTAATAGCAGTATTGGTCTAAAACTTGAGATACAGAGCTGTGCTTAGACAATAGGTTCCAAACCTGATCTACCCACTCCCCAAGCTAGCTGCCTGTGTGTGTATATCCCGATTTCATAGTAGTGATGGCATGCCTCACCCACATCTCACAGTGAATAGCTCAGTGCCTGGGCAACCTGTTGACAGGCCCGGGCATTTCTACACAAGCTGTATGAGGTGTGTCTGTGCTCCAGCTATCAGGAAGTTAATGTTTGTATAGGCACTTCCAGAAATCATAGGGAATAGTATAAAGCAGTCCATCTGACGTTACCAAACAATCACGGCAGGTACAGCTTCCAAGTGCATATGTTTTTCATCCGCAGTGAATATTTAAGTCTTTGCTGCTTTATAAATGTGCCCCATCAAAAGTAAAGAGATTTACTTTCGTAACAAAAGTGCTTTTTAGCACAGGTACACTTTACATTGCAAGTGTAAAATAAAACCTGCGTTGTAAAAATATCAGGTGCCTTAGTTATGCTGGAATGTTTTTTTAGCGCAGTTTACGCGGTAACCTATTCATGTTAAATCCAATAAGAGAAAAGGGAGTTGTATTCTATGTGCAGATGGCACAAGCCAACCTAAAATAAATCCTCACCGGTGTTGGGCACGCATCTTGTTCCTATGCAATGCAGAGCCAACGGATAATACACTGCAGTGGAGCACTGCGGGCCAGGCAAGTACAAAGTGGTGTCTCGGCACAAGGAAGGTATCTGCTGATTTACATGATTATTGACCATATTTTTGTCATACAATTATATTTGAGCATCGCAAGATGCAAGATTAACATCTGTTTGCATTCTGTCAAAGAATATTGTGTGATGAATGTGCCATGGTTTTCTGGCATGGCAATGAGAATACCTAGGACACTACCCCTTTAATATAGTACACTATAGGAAGGGTATTGTCACTGCGGTCTTAAACGTGCAACTATAGAGTTGATGTGTCTTATCTTAAAAAAAAGTATTTTTCGCTCCATAAGACGCACTTTTTTCCCCCCAAAAGGAGGGGGGAAAAGTGCCTGCGTCTTATGGAGCGACGCCCGAGACATGCAGTTTCGGGCGCCGGGCGAGTAGTAGGAGCCACTGCTCGTTTAATACGAGTGATCTAACGAGATCACTCGTATTAAAGCCGAGCAGCGGCGGCGGCGATCAGTAGCAGGAGCCACTGCTCGTTTAATACGAGTGATCTAATGAGATCACTCGTATTAAAACCGAGCAGCAGCGACGATCGAGATAACCATAGAGCAGACGAAGAATAGATGTTCTTCGCCTGCTCTGTGTCATCACTGAGACCGTGGCGCCACCTGTCTCAGCGGTCACTAACTGCAGCTTCTGTCACAGCTTCTGTCACAGCTTCTGTCACAGCTTCTGTCACAGCTTCTGTCACAGCTTCTGTCACAGCTTCTGTCACAGCTTCTGTCACAGCTTCTGTCACAGCTTCTGTCACAGCTTCTGTCACAGCTTCTGTCACAGCTTCTGTCACAGCTTCTGTCACAGCTTCTGTCACAGCTTCTGTCACAGCAGCTACAGTCTCGAGTGCTCCATAAGGCGCGCCGGACCTCCCTGCGTCCTATGGTCCGGTGCGTCTTATGGACCGCAAAATACGGTATATAGCGCCAACAGTTTGCGCAGCGCTTTACAATGTAAGGAAGACATTACAATACAATTCAAGACAAGATGGTAAGGAGGGCCCTGCCCCTGAGGGCTTACAATCTGAAAGAGGAGGGGGAAATGATACATGAGGAGGTAGCTGTGTGGGGATGAATTGTTTGAGAATGTGATCAGTGGTTAGGTTGAGGTGGGATAGGCTGATTGATGTGCGTTTCTAGCCTGGAAATGTTTACGGCAGACTTTAACTAGAGAAATCATCTGTCGAGATTTAGGGCCCATTCACACCACATCCAGATTGTTTCCAGACTCAAAATGCATCATAATGTATTCCTATGCTATTCCTAGCCTCTGTTCACACCAGCACAGTCCATTCCTGACCAGAAAAATACTGCAGGTCTCATTATGTCTGGTCTGAAATGCACTGGACCACACCTGAAAGCCAATTTGAAGCTTAAAAAAACCCCTCAGCTCTGGAATGCAGCAAAAGTGCGGCAAAACGCAATGCACCGCGTTTCAGATCTGGACTGGAAAATGGTTTATTGGGACACCCCTCCAAATCATTGGATTCGGGTGTTCCAATCACCTCCATGGCCGCAGGTGTATAACATCAAGCACCTCGGCATGCAGACGCTTCTGCAAACATTTGTGAAAGAATGGGTCGCTCTCAGGAGCTTAGCGATTTCAAGCGTGGTCCGTGATAGGGTGCCACCTGTGCAATACGTCCATCCGTGAAATTTCCTTGCTACTAAATATTCCACGGCCAGCTGTTACTGGTATTATAACAAAGTGGAAGCAACTGGGAACAGCAACTCAGCCACGAAGTGGTAGGCCATGTAAAATGACAGAGCGGGGTCAGCGCATGCTGAAGCGCACAGTGCATAGGAGTTGCTAACTGTCTGCAGAGTCAATAGCTACAGACCTCCAACCTTCCTGTGGCCTTTAGATTGGCACAACAACAATGTGTAGAGAGCTTCATGGAATGGGTTTCCATGGCCGAGCAGCTGCATCCAAGCCTTACATCACCAAGTGCAATGCAAAGCGTCGGATGCAGTGGCGTAAAGCACGCCGCCACTGGATTCTAGAGAAGTGCAGTCATGTTCCCTGGCGTGACGAATCACGCTTCTCTGTCTGGCAATCCGATGGACGTGTCTGGGTTTGGCGGTTGCCAGGAGAACGGTACTTGCCTGACTGCATTGTGCCAAGTGTAAAGTTTGGTGGAGGGGGGATTATGGTGTGGGGTTGTTTTTCAGGGGTTGGGCTTGGCCCCTTAGTTCCAGTGAAGGGAACTCTTAAGGCATCAGCATACCAAGACATTTTGGACAATTTCATGCTCCCAACTTTGTGGGAACAGTTTGGGGGTGGCCCCTTCCTGTTCCAACATGACTGTGCACCAGTGTACAAAGCAAGGTCCATAAAGACATGGATGAGCGAGTTTGGGGTGGAGGAAGTTTACTGGCCTGCACAGAGTCCTGACCTCAATCTGATAGAACACCTTTGGGATGAATTAGAGCGGAGACTGCGAGCCCGGCCTTCTCGTCCAACATCAGTACCTGACCTCACACTCCTAAACCTTGTGGACGCCTTCCCAGAAGAGTTGAAGCTGTTATAGCAGCAAAGGGTGAGCCAACTCAATATTGAACCCTGCAGACTAAGGGTCCCCACACACTTTACGATCGTACGATAATCGCGGGAAATCCCGCGATTGTACGGTATGTAGATATCTATATGTAGATATCTATATGTAGATATCTATATGTAGATATCTATATGTGTGTGCACAGTCTGGTGAAGTTATGGGATTTTCTTCTTCCACCCCAGGGGGCTGACCATTCTTTTCGGACTGAGCGGCACTCACCCTATGACATGTAAGCACGGCTCAGTCCTAGAGTACTGTGAGCCCAGCTTGTGCATTGATATACCATCATGGGGTGTGCAAATGACAGACTGGACTTACAGGAAGTGACCAGAATGACGCAAGTGTCCTTCTGCCCAAAATGACTGTCAGCACTGGAGTGGGGAGAAAAAAGCATGGGCAAATTTCTATTTTGGGGGGCACACTGAAAGAATAAATAAACTTGGAACTTTCATTTCCAATCATGTTTAATGTGCGTGTATTTGTGACATGACATTTTCCATGCCTGGAAACATCATTTAGACATTTTGTGGTTCTGTCATGTGTATTTTGTAAACTTACAATTTCCTTGGAAGGAAACCTTGCTAGTGTTCATGGAAAGGTCTTATTTCATACAAAACTGTACTACAAAGAACTGCCAAGCACTGTTTTTGGGCAATACTAACTCAGCTACAGGTTTGCAGCTTTGTCTCTAGAAATCAGTTCAGAAAGCCTACTAGAGCCTGCGTATTTTATTACACATGAATGGGATCTGCTGTGACATTTACTGTATAGAGATTAGTCAGGTTTTGGTGCTGAAAAGGTCTGATTTTGGATATTGATCAGTTTCATATTTTATAGAAATCACAGGAAACGAGTAGTGTTTTGGAAGCTGAACCCCAGGTATACCACTAAATACACACCTGACATACATACTGTATGTGGGAATTAAAATATACCATCAAAACATACAATGCTAAAACAGAAAAATGATCATTAAACATATAATCATTGTTAAACAAAACTCAAAAACCTTCAATAAATTAGCATCACACAAACTGCAAATACAACTATTTGCAATAAAACAAGTTATTTTATATATAATGTCCACAATGTGCCAGTAGTCCAAAAGCCAAACTGCAAACATTCCAAGGACTGCTTCACCGGGCCCTCTAGGCAATAAACTCACCAAATGTTGTGTGACCCCCTCATTTAAAAGGTAGGTCCAAATATCCAGGAAAAAAAAATCTCCAGACCCAATCATTCAGAATTCCTCCAGCACATTTTTTTTTTTTTTGTGCTGTTTATCCACAACCAACATTTGGCTATTTGTACGCAGTGCAGGTTTTATGCACTTCACTGTGTGAATGTATTGGATGTTTTCGTTTTTATAAAGGGATAAGGTTTATGCTATGAGCCTCTTCTTTTTGTCCCATATGAATGGGATGATGGATCTGGTACATGTGTATTGAGTACAGAGTCCGAACATTAATTCCTGGTGAAAGATTCTGTGCAATCTGTTTTCTTCTATTGGGCACTTTGTATGGTGGATACTAGGGATGCACAGATACTGGTATTTCGGTATCGAGTACCGATATTTTTTTTCCCCGATATCGAGTACTGGAAGTCCCATTCAGGAAGCCATGTGGCGTGTAATGACTCGCCACCTGACTTCCTGATTAGCCGGGCAGTGTGTAAAGACTCGCCACCCGGCTTCCCGATTAGCAGGGAAGCCGCCCCCATGGTGATGAGAAAGCATGGAGCCGGCTTTCTGGCCAATCAGGAAGCTGGGCGCTGTGTAATGATGCGGCACCCGGCTTCCTGATTGGCCGGGAAGCCGGCTCCCTTGTCATGAGGTGACAAGGGAGCATGAAGCCAGCTTCCCGACCAATCAGAAAGTCGGGCGCCGCGCCAATACACGCGCATGGCTTCCTGATTGGTCAGCTTCCAACCAATAATGAAGCCGGCCAGCGTGTCATTACACACTGCCCAGCTTCCTGATTGGCCGGGAATCCGGCTCCATGCTCTTTTCACAAGTGACCAGAGAGCATGGAGCCGGCTTCCTGGCCAATCAGTAAGCCGGGCAGCGTGTGATGACGCACTGCCTGGCTTCCTGATACTGGAAGTATCGGGCTAGGCATCGGAGCTTTTGGGCATGTACGGGTACTCTACTAAATACTCGGCAATGGCACCGATACTAGTATCGGGGCATCCCTAGTGGATCCACTGCAAACAAGCTGAGGAGGATGGAATGAGATTTGTTTTACCTATCAAAGGATTTGTATTTCTGTTTATCTAGTCCTGAGATTTATACAGCCCTGCAGAGGAAAGGACCTGATTGCAGGCACCCAGGGTGGATTGACTAACCATTTGACTAGGGCTGCTTTTTTCATATTTAAAAAAGTATTAAATGTCACTATTTGGTCACAAGGGATAGCACAGCAGCATTCGGCTGGCTTGATGAGACCAGCAGCTTGGCCAGCAGTGTGTTTGTACTCTGGCACATCCATTCAGCTTTAGTCCCTACTGGGAGCAAACATGCAAGGGTGGCTCCATAATACCCAGCAGGAGAAAGGAACCATCCTAAAACTGGAAAGCGGTTAAAAATTAATATTTTTAAAGAGGGTCATTTAACATCCAAAGGTAGGCTCATGCCACATTGAGGTTTCAGCAAGTTGTGGAATTATGAGACAAAGTCTCTAGTAAGTAGCACAGATTCCAGTTCAACATTGTTGGCCTTAGAAATGAATTGTAAATGCTGGCAATGATTTATCAATACATTGCTGTATGTCTGCTCACATAAACTGTTTCAGAGGTATACCAAATGCTGGTGACATGGTAAATTGTTATAAATCATACACATCTGTTGTGTGCTCATTTGTAATAAGATTATAATTGAGGATTGTGGCAGGTTAAGTATTCATGACTGGTGGACTTGTGGTGAGGTAAACCGGTGAAAGAGATGCTATTGAAAAAATGAATTCACGTATGATATCTTTGTTGGGGTGGCAGATTGTCAGGTTTTTTGTTATGGCTGTAAAGTTTGAGTTTTGATATGGTGTGAGGGAATCTTAAAGCTGGACTTCCGTTCCGTTGTATAAAATTGCCCTGAGTTTTGGCAGAAGAGACTCGCAAAGTATTGCCGGAAAAACTTTTTCCCTGTATGTCTAAGAGCTTTTCTAGCATCTTGCACCATGTAGTATACATTCCAAATAAAGCTTGTCATACACGGCTATTGGTTCCAGAGAAACCAATCGATTCCTCACTAAATAGCCTGAATGGAGCAATCTCCACTTGCTGTTTATTGTATTTGGACATCTGCGACACCCACGGCTGCCTGAATACTTGAACAGTGAACTACATCTGTTTAGATTCAGTTGCTGTTTGGTTGACAGATTTCTATCCTGTGGTGCTGGCAGAGCCAGCTTTATCCTCGGCATGTCCAGAATAAAGCTAGGTTTGGGAATTTGGTGTCATTTGGTGTCCTGGAGCTCAAGTTGCGTATATTGCAGGACCCAGAAGATGTGGCGGGGGATGGGAGGCATTGGAACAAGAAGCAACTGAAGCCAGAACTGTTGATGCTCAGGGCCCATTCACACCACATCCAGATTACCTCCAGACCAGACTGTTTCTGGGCCCAAAATGCATCCCAATGTATCCCTATGTATTTCTGGCTTCTGTTCCCTCCAGCGCAGTCCGTACATGGCGGAATTTTGGAAGGGGGTTTAACACCGCGGATGTCAACTGGTTAAAGTAAACTAATGAGGGGCTGCCACTCTGAAAATGCCAGCTGTCATGCTGACGCCACTAGCTTCTTCTTACTACCCTGATCAGCCTACTTATGCCAAGTTAGTGACCTGAAGTTCTCACTTGCATACTTCTTCCGGGTCACTTACTCTACTGAACCAAAAGGGTCCGGTCAGCATTAGTCAGGCAACTAGCATTTTCAGAAAAAGGGGGCAGCAACGGCAGCATATTTATTTAAAGTTGAACTCCAGGGAATTTTTTTTAACCCTTGCATTGAGGCTAACCTTGCACTGCAAGTGTTAAGTGTTCATATACACACCTAGGACACACTATGCCCCAGCATGTCCTTCCCTATAGGGCACAGTGCATATCCTTTACACAGTGTATGGGACATGATGACTCTGGGACCTTAGACCACTGCAGCAGAGGAGGGACTCCAGGGATCAGTCTAAAGGTGCCCATACACTGCTCGATTCTCGTACGAGAATTGCGGGAAATCCCGCGATCGTACGAGAATCGAGCAGTGTGAACGGAGACGTGCGACCGTTTCTACTGTACGGTCGCACGTCTTCCGTCGAACCAGCATGTTCGAAAACCAGCCGGGAATCGTACGATTCTCGGCTGGTTAGAACGGTGCTCGGAAGACAAATGCCGAACGGGCCGGTGTGCGCAACTACCCATGAAGCCCTCAGCTTACAATTAGGCCCATGAAAACATGGGTGTTTCAGAGGAGAGTCCAGTAAGTTGAGTAACTAAGTGGCCTTCAGAAGCAACCTCTCTGTGCCTTCCTGTAGTCTGAAGAAAACTACAGGTGATGAATGACTAGACAAATTCTTGGAGCATGGTAGCAAAAGCTAAAGAAATTCAAGTACAGTGGTCCTTTATTTGGCCACACCCCCAAGTGCAGCCTGCCTGGTAAAATACTTCCCTTACAACAGAAAAAAACAAAAACGTTCCCATCAGGCCCTCCCACTGTGCACGCCTGCTGCACCCACAGTCATTCCTGCAGATGCGCTGTACTATTGTGGCCTCCAGCAAAGTGTGGTTCATCCATAGAATTGAACAAGGCCACAACAAGCATGGGTAGTAAAAGGATCACCGGCAGGAACATTTTCATTGCCAAAAGGTTGCACTTAGGGGAGGGGGGGGGGGGGG